GCCATCTCTTCTTCTATAAAATTATGGGCTGAAGTTCCGGCCCTTCTGAGGATTACTTTTCACCACTACCATCAGAAACACACTGTATTAAACTGTAATGAGCGTTCTAGAACACAGTGCAAATTTATCCCATGAAGCCTTGGGTATGAAAGGAGGGGTCAAGGTGTGTGAAATAGGAGTGGGTACTATGAGACTGAGACGTGCTCTTGAAATTAAATTGTCCCTTCTTCCAGCTATGCTTGAGTCTGGTCTTGGTTATAATTTTTCACGTATCACAGAAAACTTTGTGCTTGTCCAGCCTTCCAGTGTTGCTGATCAGATGACATCCAGTTCTGAATGTGGGATGAGGCATTCGGTCAAAAGCCAGGAGCAGGTTTTCAAAGGACAACAAGTTGTTGGCAGGTGGAAAAAGTATGGCTTTACACCAAAACTCTTTGTATCAGCCTTGAGGAATGCCAAGGGCTTCACAGAGCATCCCAATTGGCCTCAGGTACTTTGAGAACAACTGAGCCTGCGTGGTCTCTGGCCCAGGTGGCAGGGCCGCTTTCATCCCAACCTTGTTTCTGCTACACAACTCTCTTGTGCCCACCCAGGGCCAGCCTTACAGATGACATAGTAATGGACCCAAGCAGCACACCCAACTGCAGTATATGTTAATTCCAAAGTCCACAGAGGCCCATGAATTACTGCACTTCTTTCTGCATAGTAGATGGTAATAAGACTTATCTCTCATATTAGAGGGAATATTCTGACATGTCCCACACATCTGGACTACGTATAAGCTCACCAATGTGGCAGGTCCCTGAACTTTTGCAGATTATACATTATTCTGGCCTGCATATGTCATATACTGAGGCATCTAGAGTGCTTTATAATTTCTATTCACAAAGAACAATCAGCATAATACCATGAGTGCAATGGGCCAGTATGCTATTAAGATCATTAAGGGCCTTCTGAACCATATTGATAGAGAAGAGGCTAAATATAGCATTGAGAAGAAATAGTTCAAGAGTATTTCTGAACTTGTCACTTGAAGGCAAACTATATTTGATTGTCTTTACTGAGCATTTCTAAGCAACTTCTGGAGGAATTTATCTTCAGGCTCCCAGTAGCCACCTTTCATGTCTGTGGATTGGGCCCTACAGCTAGTCCCACACATTTTCTCTCCATCTCAGTCTACACATTCATACTCATACCTACCCACAAACACACAAACATCTGTCTCTGCCTGGAAGCTGTGGTTTCCTCCCTCCAGCTTGCCTCGACAGAGCTCATCTGGATGAGAACTGGGGAGGAGGGAGATGGGCAGGAGGAAGCTGAAGTTCTTGCTCAGATCTCTGATCTGTGCCCGGCACTGTGTCTCCAGCGCTGCAGAAGTAAAAGCTGCTGTCTTCGGGGTTCACACTGTTCACAGTCAGAATGGAGTACGTTAGGTTTGGGCGGTGGATGGGAAACTTGTCCTTGGTAAATCCACTTTCATAAGTGGCCTCAGAGCCCTGATTTGCCGTTGCAATCAGTGTCAAGCTCTGTCCAGGAAGCTGCCGGTACCAGAACATTACGGCAACTTGGCTATCAACCTGACACTGGATTGTCACCGAGGTTCCACGTTGACAGATGTCCCTGAGTGGCCTTTGAGTGAGGAGAGCACCAAACACAGAGCCTGGTTGCAGGGAGATAGAGAAAGCCATGAGCGCTGACCAGCTTGTCCCCAGGAAGGAAGCTCTTTTTACTATTTGCTCCAATGTCACCTTGGCTCCCAAAGAACCCTGTGGCACTGCCTCCATTTTGTTCTGCCAACTGTTATTCTGTCATATCCTATAATCCAACATCTTCTCTCTCCTCCTCCCCCCCATTCTCTGACTGGTGGCCTCAGACCTTCTACTCCTCTATTCAACATTAGTATTAATCCCATACTTCCCCACCCAATAAGGCTCGTACCGTGTCCTAGGAGAAGTAGTAGGAAAGTGAGCATCTTTAGGTGATATCCTCTCCTCTTTCATGAGAAAAGACACTGAGAAGTCACACTCAAGGTCATCTTTCCTCACCACTGTGTAGTTCCTTTCATGTAAATAGGAAGTTGAGTTTCTGCAAAATGTGGAGGAAACTAGTCTGCCCCTAGTGGAACTGTGTAACTCTTCACTCACAAGGTATCCCAGTATGTAACTGCCATCATCCACTATGTGTCACCACCTCTCCATCCATCATTATTCAGTGCCATGTATGTGCTACCCTTTGGGTATAAAGCAAAAATGGGATGCAGCACTGACTTCAAATAACTAAAGTAAAACTTTAGAATATGAGGGAATCTTATAACTCAGAATTTCAACTGTCTGTTGAGTCTTCATTGTCCCAAACCATCCCCATTATTCCTCCCTCAACCCATACTCTAGTAAACTGGCCTCTACTCCTGTTTTCCTCCCTCCAAATAAAATACTTTATTGTTCATAAAAGTTGAGCTAGTATTTTTGTGCACTTACTCCATGCTTTACATGTATGATTTCAGCCTATAAATTAGGCTACTTAGGCACTATCATCCCATTTTTACAGATGAGGAAAACATAAAGATCTTAAATAACCTACCCAAGTTCACATAATCCAAGAGTAAGTGACACAGGCAAGACTCAAGTCCATGTCTATGTGACCTCAAAACCCAATGTGAATATCAATATTGTCAAGGATGGTCTCACTTTGCAGTTGTCTGAACTTAATAAAATCTGGTGAATGAATGAGAATGACAGGCCAAACACTGTAAAGGAAACAAAGACCTTTAGAAACAAATTCTTGTAAAACTAACCTACCTTATATCTTTGATTCAGAAAGTCCAGCTAATTATACAGCGGTTCTCAACCTGTGGGTCACGACACCTTTGGGGGTCGAACGACCCTTTCACAGGGGTCACCTAAATACATCCTGCATATCAGATATTTACATTATGATTCAAACAGTAGCAAAATTACAATTATGAAGTAGCAACGAAAATAATTTTATGGTTGGGGGTCGCCACAACATGAGGAACTGTATTAAAGGGTCACAGCATTAGGAAGGTTGAGAACCACTGAATAAGATGCACTCTTAAAAACATAATGGCTATTTTTGGGTGGTGTTAATATTACATTAGAGATGAATGTAGATTACAGGATTTACTCATATTTTGGAAATATAAAACTGGAAAAACAATTTACCTTATGATCAAGGAAATGCAGCATGTTATAGATAATAATATTTCAGTAACCATTTCTGCTATGGCGTGTGTGTGTGTGTGTGTGTGTGTGTGTGTGTGTGTGTGTGTTTGTTGCAGCCTGTACATCTATGGGCGGTGCCAGAGGCAGTGAGTGATGTAAGATAAACCCTGCTAAGTAGTATGCTGATGAAAGGTATAGAATACTCCATTTTTTTTCATGACAACTAGGGATACATTTTTAAAATTTAGACAAATATGTCAAAATTTCTACCAAAATAACCCAAGATCTTTTTCTAGTTCATTCATAAATCCTAAATATTACCAAGTGACTCTTAGTCTTTAAAGAATTCCAAATCTTTTCCTCTCAGTGGTATTCTTTCTTTTATAAAACAATAGCAAAGACATTCTTTTCTCTTTTCATTATCTTCAAACAGCACTTGTGTCTTTAGACTTTACTTTCAGAGTGTCATGGTTACCGTTATCATATAATTTTAATGTATTTATTTATTTAATTAATACATGCACATGGTTAAAATTTCAAAAAACACAAAACTGAACAAAAAGTAAGGTACCTTCCCCAGAAGCAACTGGTCAATAAGCTTGTTGTATCTGTTACTAGACATATTCTTGACTTATTCAAGTTTACAAGTATCTGATTGGTCTTCCTATACCTTGCTGCTTATTTTATTAACAATGTATTCTTAGCAATACATTGAAAAGATTAGTTTATAGCAGAACATACATATTTGCCTCATTATTATTTCCCATTTTATTATGAGAATTTTAAAACCTTTATAGAAGTTGAAAGTTTTATATTGAACATTCATGTGCCCACCACTTAGATTCTACCACCTTGATAAAGCCACTTTTTGCTTTATCATAAAACTATCCACCTACCCATGTACATTTTGGATACATTTAAAAGTTAATTGAAGGCATAGTTCACTTTTAAACACTTCAGCATGCATATAATTAACTAGTGTTCAATATTTATTTATGATTCTTTTTAAGGTAAATTTGCATACAGTAAAAGACACAACTCTTAAGTACCATTAAATAAGTTTTGAGGAATGCACACACCTGTGAAATCTACCAAGCTTTTTAATACTCTTTTTTGAAGTTACATGCTTTTTCTATGTTTATTTTTTCACTGAATTTCTTGGGGTGACATTAGTTTGCAAAACTATACAGGTTTTAAGTGTATAACTCAACAAAACATCATCTGCACACTGCATCGTGTATCCATCGCTGTAAGCAAAGTATTTCTCTTGTATTCCCAAAGGACTCAATTACTATTTACAGACAGGATAGATGTTTCATTCTTTAAAATACACAGATACTTTCCCAGATGATCATGTGTACAGATGTAACCTAATTTTCATAACCTCTGCATCATAATTTATTCCTTACCTGTTTCTAGTAAGACATTAGTGACCACTTAGAGAACGTGGAGAATGATTGCTTTTTATTAGAGTTGTTCTAATTTTAGATTGAATGAATAGAACTCAAATTCCACACACTTTCTCTTAAATCAACATAGGGAGAATAAAATTTATCTGAAGAAGGAGTTTAGCTTGTGTGATGCCCCCTAGTGAAACATTGATTAAGAGCAAAGATATGGAGCAAAGTGGCAAATGACAGTAAGATGGACAAGAATAAGAGAGGGAGAGAAAAATTTGTAAAAAAAAATGATAGAACAGAGCTTCTTCCATGTAAATATGTGTGAGGATGTTTCCTCCTGATTGCGGTAGAGTCTCATGAATTTAGGCTGGGGATAATACACAAGTCTGGGCAGACTAACTTGGGAATGGCCCCTAATTCAGAAACGATGGTGCATGGGGCATAAAAGATATCCTGTGCTTTCCAGACCAAATTGTACGTCCATGGGCTTGGTTCCACTGAGTGGCCACCTTTGTTCAAAGTAGCCGGTGTAACTCAGCCCTGAGTTAGGGTCACTTCCCTCTGGCACCTGCCTTTTTTGTGCAGAGAGGATGTGGTTGTGCAGCGCTGTGGATCTACTGCTGGCACAGAGGTACACAGATGTCTGGTTGGTGCTGGCAGTCCCCAGGATCAGGGAGAAGCCCTTCTTCTTCTTCCTAGAGACACTGTACCCATCAGGGAAATCTCCTTTCTCATAATTCTCAACCCCATATGAGAAGTGGAGCAGCTGCAGCCCCAGAGCTGAGTCTTGTCGATACCAGAACATTCTTTCATGGTCCATATCCTGTAAACATTCCATCAACACTTTCTCTCCCTTTCTTTTGATCAGATATCTTGGGACTTGGGTTACTTCTGCATCCATGAGACCTGTGAAAGGAGGATAAAGGAGGTAAAAAGGAGGTCATCAAGAAGCTTGATGAGGGAAAAGTCTTGTATCCAGGGCCTAGAAATAATAAGTTAGGAGTTCAACACCAACTTCCCAGACTCACCTACTCCCAGGAAACAAAAGGCCACACCACAGAGAAGCCTGAGTCCCATGGCAGGTTTGAGGCACAAGTGTATTTTCTCTGAGGCCTAGGTTACAGGCTGATCATCTCTGATGTCATTGTCCCTGCCCACACTCATGATCCCTCAGTAATCCTCAGATTCTAAGAGAATTTACTAGTAGAGGGACTAGAGTGAAAGCCACCCCTTTTCCTCATGGGAGTGTCAGTGTGTATGTGTGTGTGTGTGTGTGTGTGTGTGTGTGTGTGTGAGTGTGTGTGTAGATAAAAACATACCAAGCCTGAGACAGCTATCTTAGAAGGACCTGCTTACAGGGTAGGCTCTGGGATTGCATCTGGGTATCTGGGTTTCAGTAGTGTCCCCGCTGTTTAGTTCATTGTGTCTAGGCTGCTGGCACAATGTGGTTGATGTTCAACACTCACTTTGCTTCCTTGAGTCTGGAATTTTGGAATGTGCCAGGGAGAGGGTGCTTGTGTGATCATCTGTGTTAGTTTTCTAATGCTTCCGTAGTGGGTGACCAAAACCAGAAATTTGTTTTGCTCACTATTCTGAAGGCTAGAAGTCCAAGATCAAGGCGTCAACAGGATTGGTTTCTTCAGAGGAACCAATCGGCTTATAGCAGGCCATCTTCTCCCCTTGTTGCCACATGATCTTCCTTCTGTGTGTGACTGGGTCCTAATTTTCTTTTTTTCTTTTTTTATATAACACCAGGCATATTGGGAAAGGACCCACTCCAATGACCTCATTAACATAAATTACTTCTTTAAAGACCTTATGTCCAAATACAGTCATGTCCTGAGATACTGGGACATAAAACTTCAACATATGAATTTTGAGTGGATGCAATTCAGTCCATAAAACCAGCCACCAAAAATATCTGGGTGCTGGAGAAACCAAGATGGCAGCATAGGTAAATACTTGAAATTGCTGCCTTGCACAACCACTTCAAAAATACAACTAAAAGACAAAACAGACATCATCCAGAACCACGGAAGGTTCAGGCTGTCATACAAGCACCCAGCAGAGGAACTAACCAAACTACTCAGGAATTCAAGGACATTTTCCTGGAGGAAATGACTTCTCAATTCATATGCAGAAGAATTGTTATTAGTAGATATTCAGGTAAAGAGGAAGAGGAAGGTGCTCCAGGTAAGATGAACACTATAGGTGATGAGCCAGGAGTGAGTCAGCATAGGACATAGGTGGTCACCCGAGAGATGTGGAAACATCTGGTAGAAAGGAAGGCAGTTGCAATAACTGTAGAAAGAGGAAGTTCACGTTAGGATGGTAGGCAGGTATGCAAACACCACATCATTAGAAGGAGCTGAGAGGCTTGTGAAGTAACATAAGCATGAGTCTTTAGCTGGTAAATGGGTTTTAAGCTCAAGAGAGTGAGTAGTTTGTAGGTTGGACCAGGTAGCAAATTAGAAAGGTGGGTGACTACTTGAAAGGTAGTTAAGGAATCCAGATGAGAGATGAGGTTTGCTGGACCATGATGTTATCAATGAGGTTAGAAAAATTAATAAAATTTGCGAAGAATTTAATACTTGGAAATGTGGAGGAAGTGGCCACGGATGAGGTGTGGAAGGAGAGGACATCTCTGGCTCAGGCATTTTGGTGGACAGCAAGACACTTTGCTGAGATGTCAGATTTAGCAAAAGACTCAGAACGTGCTATTTCCCTGGTGACAAAACACCCAGGAATAGGATCTATGATATGGGACAACATGTTGTCGAGTACTTGGATTGGTATGGACTATTCTTTGGGCAACAGTGAAGGTCAGTAAGGAGAAAGGATGTCAGAGTGTATAAGAATCCTTGTCTAGGAAAGGAATCCCTTACCCCAGCTCTAGCCCAAGCACAGTTAGCTTGTCCTGCCTGGCCTTTGACAAGCTCATTGGTACAACAAGTGAGAGCAGGACACACTGCAGAGGGTCTGCATCCCTCAGAGCCCCAGAAGCTGGGGACTTGGGAGGGACTTCTATGGGCACTGATGGTGGGGGAAGGTTTCCCTCCTGGTTGGGTGGGTCCTCCTGAGGGAGGAGCCTCCTTGCTCTGTGGCTGCCTTTTTTGTGTGGAGAGCAGCTGGCCATGCAGTGCTGTGGTTACCTGCTGGCACAGAGATACAGAGAGGTCTGGCTGATGTTGGCTGACTCCAGGGTCAGTGGGAAATTCCCCTTCTCTGTTCGAGACACCTTGTACCCATCAGAAACCTCTCCCTTTTCAAAATGATCAACATTAATTGAATAATAGATCAGCTTTAGACCCAGCCCTGGGTCTTGTCGATACCAGTACATCAATTCGTGGTCCATATTCTGAGAACAAGTCACTGTCAACTGCTTTTTGGTCTCTGTGATGAGGTGTCTTGGGGTCTGGGTCACTTCAGCTTCTGTGGGACCTGTGAGCAGAGGAGACAGAGCTAGAGGTAGCCGAGGAGGGTGCCTGTGCTGTTGCCTCTAGGAAGGGACTCCAGCTAAGACCTGCAAGCTTTGGCCAAGGGTTGCCAAGTGTTCTGGAACTCACCTGCTCCCAGGAGACAAAGCATGACACAGCCCAGGAGCTGAGGGCCCATGGCAGCGTCACATTGGTGTCTGCCAGCTCTGGGGGCTCTGGTTGGTTTCTAAAATGTCTGCATCTGGCCCTCATTTTAGGGAGAGAAGCCCTCCCCTTTTCTCAGAGCTTTAACATTTAACACAGGCAACCAATACAAGCCAACGTGGGAGGGCAAGCTTGTGGTCACTGTCATTGTCCCTGCTCTGCTTTGAGGCTGCTTGTTTCTGAGCATTTGACAATGTCTTTTCTCTGTATGCTTTTGTCAAGCTTGGCAAGTCCTTTCTGTATTGTGCGACTTTATAATGAAAATTGGTATAACATATTTGAGTATCACTTAGAAATGTGACTACAGGAGACTTATGCTATTATCAAAGCTGTACCTTTATCACTTAGAAATGTGACTACAGGAGACTTATGCTATTATCAAAGCTGTACCTTTATATGTAGAAATCCTCATTTCTATTCTGCAGAAAAAAATTCCAAGTGTCTTCCCATCTTTGTCTATCCACTGATATATATAGTTAGCAATTACCTTTTAAAAGAGTCTCATGTGTAGAAAAGAGAAATCCACACCATGGATTAATTTATTGGTCTGTATCCCATTCAAAATCCTGGACACAGGGCTCTTTCCTCTTCAGCAGATTTGACTTGGTCATAAGTGCTAACAGCTGCTTTCCTCAGGCTGGAGTTTAGGGAATATTTCTTCCTTTTCCTCTTCTCTCTCCTTCTCTTGAGGGGCTGGTGAAAGGCAGAGTTGATGTCTGCCTTCTTCGGGAACCTCACATTTATGCAGCACATTCAGTTCCCCCGTATGCTCTTGGCACCGGCTTTGCTTCGCTGCCTTCTCCCCATGTGGCTCCACGTGGAAGGTCTCTGTCCCTGGATGCTGTGTTGCAGCCAGACTACTCTGGATCCAAGTCATGGGGACCCTGCTTGAGGCCGAGGGTGTCACAGCTTCTTTTCTGACTTCCTCCAGCAGCTGCACATATTGCTCCCTTTTCTCCTCACTAAGTCCTTCCTGGTGTTGCCCAGAATATCTTCCCCCTTGAACAGCTTTGATATTTCCTTGTGCTTTTTTGGAATCAAAGTATTCTTGTTGGGGAGGAAGAAGACAGAGAAGGAGACTGTCCCATCCCTCCTAATTGCTTCCAACCACAGCTACAGCTTCCCAGAGACTTTCCGTATTTTGCCAAATCATCATCTTCAAGCAAGAACTGGGCCTTCATCCCAGCTTGGGGGCTGCCTTCACATCTCAGAGATGCATTCTTGCCCTCAACAGTTCCTCTTCCATGCCAGTGAGGGAAACAGCTGCTCCCATGGCATTAACTCTGCTCTAAGAAGGAGCCTTCTCTCTTTATATTGCTGTACCATTTCTTTCTGGGAAGCACTGTGGCAAGTGAGCTCAGTTTAGCCTCCATCCTGGGTGTTAGTGTTGTCCTGGCAAGTCCTCCACATCCCAGCTGTGGGCGCAGGTGTCCTGAGGGAAGGAACGCAGTGTTCATTCTCAAGAACTCGCCTTAAGTCAATAATTCCGTATTACTTAGTAAACATCGTCTCAGTTCAACTGCATCCCCAAAGCTAACTTTACTATCTATTTACCCTCCCGTCCATGGGATTTTCCCAGGTTCCCTGCTGCTCCCAACATCATCAAAGTGGATAATGATACAGCAAAGATGTATAATTTGTCCCAAGCATTTTCCATATTAGATTAACCCAACATCCTACATGCCCACTCCCCCACCAGCTAATTCACTCTCCTCAGGCACATGCTTCACCCCATTTCTCCATCCTGTTAACCGCAGGGCTGCTCTGGTGTCTGCTATTTTTCTCTACATCAACCAAGACTAAAATGCTGCTGATATGCTCACGTTAGGAACCAGTTGGTGTACCTTCCCACCTTTCCTTTCTAGAACCTTCCCTGTGATCCCTCTTTTCCAGGGTCACCACATTCAAAGTTTGGGGAACTCTACTTCCCCAATCCGGTGCAGGCTCCAGTGTCCCTAATAAAGGGACTGGGAAGAAGAGAGAATGCTCTAGATGGCCAGAGACTCTCAGCCATCTCCCTGCACCTTGTGCACTTGAATGCATTTCCTTCTGTGCTGTCCCTCTCCCTCTGTCTTTCCCTGTACTTCTGTACTTCTTCACTGCTTGCTCTCAGCCTCGTCCTCTGAAGCACCACTTAGTAAGTATGCTTCTCTCACCCACGCTTTCTGGGTCCAGTATCTTGACTGCAATAATGATGCCTGCCTCTACCCAATTGAAGAGCCATTTCTTTATAACTCCTGTAGAAGAATACAAGGTTTATACCTTTAAATATATAGAAATCTTTTTTTCTATGTGTGATCTTGATATAAACTGTAGAATTTTCACCACACATCAAATTCTATTTTACTTTCACTCAGATCAGGCCATATTGGTTCTGAGGAAGTCACTCTATCCTCTATATTTTCCTATACTGTATGATTAACCTTTGAAAGACCT